CTAAAAAGTAATTTTACAAAAGAAAAAAGGATATATAAACATGTACATATTTCGTATAATTATACACACACATATACACACATATATATCTATATATATATAATTATGTTTATGAATATTTATGCGTGTTTATGTATGTTTACATTGTTTATATATATTCATATTTATATATATTCATGCATGAACAATTTTTTATCGGGATGATAATTTATATTTCGTAAGAAATATAAATTATATATCACCCCATAAAAAATTATATGAACATATTGCAAAATAACTTTTTCTTGAGACGTGATTTGTAATGAATATGTAACTTTTACCATACTAAATTTTTATCATACTAAATTATATTTAACTAGTTCAAAGTCAAAAGTTTTATATTATATATATATACATAGTAGAAAAATATATAACCGCTTACCCGTTCTAGTGCTAATTTCACGAAGTCTTTTCTTCTTTTTATTATAATACGATAAACATCCGGCAAAGATTCCATCGCTTTGAGAGCACCACTGACGATAAGAATTGCAGCTTTTCCTGTATATGGGCTTTTCGGTAGTGTTGATAGTAAATACTTAATACTTAATATTTCTCGCGTTACAAGCGCATAAACCTGTATATTTCAAGTTATCATTGTTAAAGGATGCGTTTCATTTCATGCATGATATGCATAATACATCATTTATCCTTGTTTAATATTCGGTAAATAACAAGGATAAATGATGCATCATGCCTGAAAGGGAACAGTCATAGTCTTATCTTGCAAAGTGCATAATGTGGTAAATACTAATCATTGTTTTATTTGCATGTTAAATATCTCTTTTGGAGTATCCACGCATAAATTATTGTTATAATAAATAATATCAAATTGTTTCTTTGTTAATGAGCATTTGAAGCAATCTTCTTTTTATATAAGAAATATACAATATATTTTATTATTTTTTAATATTATTATTTATATAAATGTACTATTACCTATACATAGATATTGAAAGCATTCTCTGTACTATTATATATAAGATTCACTTATTATAAAAATAAGGATATC